CAACTGACTGACTTCGGCTGATTTCTGCACTTATATATATATATTATATATATATATATATACTTTTTAAAATATCATTTATTTAATAATTTTACTGATTTAACGACAAATATTAAATCAACATCCCATTTTCTAAGAGACATCCTGTATATACAGTAGAACTTCGATTATCCGGGCCGGCCGGGACCGAACGGTTGCTGGATAATCGAAAACACCAATTTTGCAAAAAATATTAACTTTATTACACATACCTATTACATACATTTGTGGTCCATTTTCGGTGGGATTTCAGGTTATTTCAGAAACTACTAAAGATATGATTTTCATGACAAACTCAATTGTCAGATCAGAAATTGCTATCTTCATTTGTTTCTGAGTTACTGGGCGTTTCTCGTTATTGTGACACTTCTGAATATGTCTGTATCTCAGCTATTAAATAAGATAGAGTTAACGAGAAAACTGCTCAAGACTAATTCTTTGGTGTAGAATTGAATGCCGGTATTAGATTTTTAGTAGGTCTTAAGATTCCAAAGTTATATTTTTTTAAATGGAAATCGTAGCTGGTCATGACCTAAAAAAAATGGAGATTTTTTTTTGCTTTTCAGCAATTTATCGCATGCTGTAGTTATTTTTATAAACACAGAAGATACGGGGCGTTTTATATACAAATTTGATCCTTTTTTACATTTTAATATGGCTGACTATGAAAATACATACAAAACTATAATTCTTACTTTTACAAAACTCATATCTGTTGTAAAAATATGAAATTTAAAATTAAAATATATATTACAGATAAGAAGACAGTTTTCAAATTTTTAATATTCAAGTTACAATATTAAACGTAAATTAAACAATAGTAAGTACCTTCATTATCATCTAAATGTTCAAATTGTCGTCCCTCAACTGTCACACATTACGCGCATTTTCTGGCAACACTTCGGGTAACATTCATTAAATGTACATTAGAAATATTAAAAAAATTTTCACCATTTCGTTGAAGTTCCTCGATAGAGTAAAAAGGAATTTTAAATATAATGTCTTTTAGAAAACCTCAAAGGAAAAAGTCCAAGGGACTCAAATCAGGTAACCTACATCTGATCGGTCCGTTTGTTCCTATCCACCTATCTCCTAAAATTTCGTTAGTATTATATTATCATATTAATATATGTTGTGCATTTAAAATAAATATCATTTTTTTACAACAGATATAAGTTTTGTAAAAGTAGGAATTATAGTTTTATATGTATTTTCATAGCCAGCCATATTAAAATGGAAAAACATATAATTGTAAAAATAACTATAGTATTATATATTGCTAAAAAACAAAAAAATCTATTTTTTTAGGCCATGGTCAGCTACGATTTCCATTTAAAAAAATATAACTGGGTCATAACTCCGAAATCTTAAGATCTACTAGAAATCTAATATTGGTATTCAATTCTACGCCAAAGAATTAGTCTTGAGCAGTTTTCACTTTAACTTAATTTATTTAGATACAGACATGTTCAAAAATGTGACAATAACAAGAAACGCCGTGTACTCAGAAACAAATGAAGATAGCAAATTTCTAATTTGACAATCGTGTTTGCCATGAAAATCGAGCTCGAGAACGTGATGTCAGATCTATCATACCTTTAGTAGTTTCTGAAATACCCTGAATTCTCATCGAAAATGGACCTTCCTGTACATTGAGGTGGCCCTGGCTGTCTCTTGTGAAATCATGTTAGTTTATCATGTTTTAAGAGGCCCCTTAAAATATCAGCTCAAAAAAAATTTTTTTAGAGGTCGCTCAAGATTTTTAAACAAAATCTTCAAAAATTGAATTTTTTTTTAAATTTTTTTTCTCGTTATTTTATCATTTTCTAGGTTGAAAAAAATCTCGATTCTGAAAATTTCAAATCGATATTTTAATTCTAAAGGTCAGTCATAATTATTTTAACTTTTAAAGTAGTGTACCTATGTTTTCGAGCGACCTCTAAAAATAAATATCAATGAACAAATAATTTTTTTTATTGAATTTGATGAACAAAAGAATAGAAATAAATCACGAGACATTTAAATTTTAAAAAATTAAGAAATTATAAATATTTGATACCACAGTGCGGTGGTAAATTTTGCTTCGAGAAATTTTTTAAGTGTCGTGATTTATTCATTTGTTCATCAAATTCAATAAAAAAAATTATTAGTTCGTTGATATTTATTTCAAGAGGTTGCTCGAAAACATTTTAGGTACACTCCTTTTAAAGTTAATATAATTATGAGTGACCTTTAGAAATTAAAATATCGATTTGAAATTTTCAGAATTGAGATTTTTTTCAACCTAGAAAATGATAAAATAACGAAAAAAAATTCAATTTCTGACGATTTTGGAAATTTTTACTGATATTTTTACAAGAGACACAAAAAAAATATTAGTTTTTTTTGGGCCAGCTTACTATACATATGTAGGTAAATAATATGTATGCGATAAACAGGCAGAAACTCATCTTTTTCTTTTTGTTTCTGAGCGCTTTTTTCGCCCCGCCACGAATAATCTGCCCACGGATCAGCTACGCACGGATAATTGGGGTTCCACTGTAAAAGAAAAATAATTTCTTGTGTAGTAATTAAGGGATAATTTAATCATACTGAAGTGATAAGAATTTTTAATAAAATATTCTTGAAATTTATAAATAATTTATTATTATACAAAATCAACACTTAAAATAACTATAATACATTTTATTACTAGTTTACATTATATCCAAATATATTATAAAATATAAATACTTTTGTATAAACATATTACATAAATATTGTTCCCTTAACAATTTTAGGCAATGAATACATCAGTAACATTTTAGGTACTAACTTGTATATCGCAGAATAAGAATTTATCACTTTTAATAAATTGCGCTCTTAGCCGTAAAGCTCCTAGCTCTCACTCAATTTTTTTTTCTACACGAAAACGTATTTTATATTTCAAAATTAAATTGTACAAAAAAAAATACCCTTTTGATTGAAACTGAAATTTATGATTTAATTTTTTTAATTAGTAACAATTCGTATTAAAAAATTAACTAATCCCCAGAAAACTAATGCAGCCTTGTTTTTTGACTGTTTAATACCTTACGTTCTATATTTTTAGCAAGTCACAATATTATTAAAATATCGCAATACTTCTCACGTCTCAAAATGTATCAACTACGACAATGCTTTAATTGCGAATAGCGCTGTAGCGACACAGGTGCGCTATAAAACATCGACAACTTCTACAGTGCAAAGTTAATACTTATATAATGCAAATACACGTTTACTTAAAACATTTCTTTAAATTAAAATTGAAGGGTATTAAAAATCGCCCGATGTGAAATGTGTGATGAAATATTTTTAATGTACCTCGTCGAAAAAAAATTGCAATATACAAATGGGTTCGGTAACTGTACACCAGAAATTCATATTACACTGAAACTACGTTAATAAATACTGTATCACTGCATTATCAAATCTCCACCTAAGTATATACAAAAAAGAAAGTGGATGTAATACGTTACGCTATAAAACTAGGATTACCCTGATCTGTAGTAAGTACATTGCCCCTTACTCATTCACAAAGAAGACAAATAACACACCACTTCCCCTTTTTAAAAAATATAGTTACATTTTTACACCATAATGTCTAATAGTTCAAATAGAATTATTTGAATACAATTCCACTTCTGATAAATCCCCATTAACAATAACAACTTCAACATACCACAATATTTTCGGATCCGTATTCTTTGTGAATGCTCATCCTCATTCCGCAAAATGAACAACTAACACATTACGCGAATTCCTAACAACCAATAAAATTTAAAATATCAACAGCGTTATATTTCAAATCGTACAAACATATATTTAAGGCCGTAAGACACAGGTTATTCTTGGCACACTCGGCAGTCTTTGTTTTATTTTAACATGCATTGGTGCCAAATATTTTTCGAACCGTGAAACAGAAATTGAACCTAAATATTCGATTCGTACATGCCTATATTTTATGCACTTATTATATTAAAGGTTTCCCGTCATCACGTAGCAGCCATATAAATGTTAATACTGAGAAAATGTTTACGTAAGTGATATTAACGACGTGACTCATCTGAATATGATCAGAACCATCGTGAGGTTTATAAAAATCAATTTTACAAAATGCTTGACGCAAAATACTTTTTAAAAAATTTTTGTGCCTTTAATAATACCAGACTACAAATTTACATTAGTTTCCAAAACGAAATATTTTTGTTCCGTATATCGGTTCATTTTATATAAAACCTTTAAGGCACAGTTACTACTAAATTCCCTTCTCGATAGCAATTACAATGGAGGTACCATCAAAAAATTTTTGTAAAAAGTGGCACAATGCAAGTTTTTCTAAAAATACTTTGTGAATCACCCTGTATGAAGATTAGAAATACAAATGCCTGAGCTAAAAGGACTAATAATATACAGAATAATAAATAGTTAATTAAAAAAATATAGCTGTCGAATTAACTAAGTCGGATGTCGCAAAAAATGTGCGCAGATATGAACCGAAGACAACGAAGTTTTATATGAATAAAAATCATATAACTGAATCTTCTTAAGAACCCTCCCAGTTTGAATGGATTATCTCATTAGGCTGCTCAAGGACTAGCATCAGAATTAAAAAAATAAAATAAGAAATAACGAAACACTTAGACGTAGGCTATGGATCAGGATCCCGTTCTAACGTTATATGATTTACTGAACCCTGGTTTGTCAGCCTCTAAGCAGTCCGAGTCTAAGCGGGGAATATTACTTCTAGTCATCAGAGACGGGTGGCAATATTTATAATATATAAGTAGAAAGGCTATAGCTAGTAAAAATGCAAGTACTTGACCTCCCGCCGCTCCATAATAGAGGAATGGATTGTCGTAGGAATTTTTTGTGACACACCTAAAATAAAGAATATGAAATAAAATAAATCCGCTAAAGGAAAAAATATAAATATAAAAATATTATGAATAACTGACAATAACTATTATTCAACAAATTATCACATTAAATACAACAAGCCTTTATCTGAATATTTAACAATTGTAGGAATGTGGAAAAATTTTGTAATGCCCCTCCTATTTATTAAAAAACCAAAATAGAATTTTTTCTAATATTGATGCCATGTAAATGTATAAAATGTTGGAAAATTTAACTACCAAGAGATTTCTTAATTTTTAAAGAGAATTAAGTAGTATATGAAAAAAATGACAAAATCACTTAAAAAATTAGTGATAAAGTTTTTGAAATATACCTTTAGTGATAATTTGGAAATAAGGGTGTAACTTTATTTGAGTTCAGTTATTCGAAATAGTAATCTGAAATACATTTTATTTCTTTTTTTTTTTAGTCAAATAAATAGTCGTTATAATTATTAGTTTTTCAAACTGCACTGTAATTCTTGTGTACGCCGCCACTGTAATATTCATGTATTTGTAACAAGATTGTTGGCAACCTACAACACCCTGTATAGTAAAACTAGTATTACAAGTAAAACTAATTTGTGTTTTGGAAATAATTATATTTACTAATTTATAATATAAAATAAGAAGAGTTTTGAAATATTTTTTGAGGTCGTTGATCCCGAATATAACCTTCAAATTGATCCATCGACGACCTGGAGCTTAGGATTGATGATTAACGTCATCTCCAAGGCTTTTCCTGAATTTCACTCTTAAATGCAACGAGACTTGACACCCGGAGGTTTTTCGGGTCGCTGATTCCTAATCTGGCGTCGGCGAACACCCCCGGACACCTGGTGCACCGGAACCTGGACATGGACATAATCTCCGTGAGTTTTCCTGTAAAATTCGCGTAAACGAGCCGAAAATCGCACCAGGGGATTTTTCGGGGCGCTCTTCTCGAAATCATTTTATAATATGACGTATGCACGACTGTGGACCCCCAGACCGGGGTGATAAAATGATATTTAGTAGAATATTTTCAAATTAGTTAATAGTTGATTAGATTAGGATAAAATGGAGTTAGATTATATTTGAGTTAAATTAAATTGAAGTTAAGAGTAGGTTAGAAATGGCAATTTATTTGGAAATAAATGATTTTGTTTTGTTTTTGAAACAACACTTGCATATATTGTAACATTCATTCGATTTATTCCCTCTATTTTCATCTTGCATCCTTTAAATGAGATAAACAATTCCAAACAAGTTATTCAGTCTCAAATATATTGAAAATTCACTGTTTATTGATTTTTCTGGAGATGACGCCGATTTCAAGGTCCAAGTTCTGGTGCACCAGGTGTCCGGGGGGTGGTCGCCGACGCCAGATTCGAGAAGAGCGCCCCGAAAAATCCCCTGATGCAATTTTCGGCTCGTTTACGCGAAATTTACAGGAAAACTCCCGGAGATAATGTCCATGTCCAGGTTCCGGTGCACCAGGTGTCCGGGGGTGCTCGCAAACGCCAGATTAGGAATCAGCGACCCGAAAAACCTCCGGGTGTCAAGTCTCGTTGCATTTAAAAGTGAAATTCAGGCGAAGCCTCGGAGATGACGTTCATCATCAATCCTAAGCTCCAGGTCGGCGATGGACCAATTTGAAGATCATATTCGGGATCAGCGACCTCGAAAACCCCTAGGCCTCTGATTTGAGTCCATTCCAGGCATTATTAACCGAGTTATGAATTTTTTCTAAGTGACTCTAAAAAATTCATTTTTCCGGATGCATTTTGCACTGCACAAATGCAGTTTGGCTGAAAAACATAATACAAAGTTGATACATATTTTTCAAATAATTTTAGAAACCGAATGCAAAAAACCCCCATCTTGATACGACTTGATCGAAAAATTTTGGAGATTTCGGCTCTTTGTGATTTATTTCCTCGACTATATTTAGAATTTGAAGGTTGGTCAAATTATGTTAAAAAAATACGATTTTGCCGTTTAAAAAAATATCGATTTAGCAGCTACTGCAGAAATCTGGCAACACCGGAAAGAATTATTTGTAAATTTTTCTTAGTCAAGTTATTTCCTACAACTTTACATTTGGATTACCATTACTTCAAATAAAAAAGTTGGCCTATGTCAGGTTTTAAAAAGATAGCACTGTATATCAGTCAGTGATATTTGACATTGACTTAGTTTATGTGAATTACATAATATCAATTCACTTGGTGTGATTGACAACTAAACAGGGCGCTAAACAAGCAAAAAATAAACAGCCAATGTTAATTTGATAAAACATGAATGGCCAAATATGTTACAGCTTCATTTTGTTACATTTATTTTAGTTTTCAGTTTATCGGTTTATGAGATGTTTGTAATATGGTAGGTGATTTCCCAATTTTCTGTTGAAATAAGCAGTTCAGGGTGTAGAAATTATGAAAGAAAAGATACAATAAAAATTCTGATTTCATGACGGACTTTGAGAAACAAACTTATGGTTTTCAAAGTCAGTTACACCCTGTATAATACAAGCATGCTTTTTTTACTATTATACTTCCATATTTATTTCAATAAGGTGTTCTCTGAAATACGTAATATTTAAATATCTGAATAATTTGATAACCTAAACGACCTCTTGGAATTAATTAGTATAATAGACGTTTCACCGTATTGTGATAACATATTATTCAGAACAATAATTGGTACTTACCAAACAACTAAGGCTGCGGTGTTTTCTATGAAGCACACCAAATAATAGGCTAGATAAACATATCTCGTTGGTCCATCCCTAGGAGATATGAAAGCTAACACGTATGCTAAACCCAAAGAGGTAGATAACAGTAACTCTTCACATCTATTACCGCACGCAGCCGTCTGGTGTTGACCTAATGCCAACCATATGGTCATTACGCCCCAATGTAATGCGCAGACACATCCCATCCACACTGGGAATATCGAACCCAGCAAACTGAGCGCTAACACCCTCGACACTAGAAAAAAGTGCTCCGTTTAATAATTGTTTGAATAAATGGATTGTGTCAAAAATTAACATTAACAAAAATACTTACAGGCACTCATGAGCTGCCAACAGAAGGCCACTAGTAATCCCACCCATTTAATTTTATTTTTATCGTCCCGCGAGTATCGCACAGAGCGATGGTAGGAAGTTAGGGACCAAGACATCGACATTAAGGCTACTAATACTGTCCATGCCTGTATAACAGCCACATCTGAAATTAATACTTCACAGTAAAATTCTTGAAACTTCGAAAAATAGGCAGAAACAAAAATAAATATATAAGACACTTACTTATACCCAACGCTGTTTTTTCAGGATGGGTCACTTGTATTAATAATATCACAAGCTGTATAACAGCCTGTGGAGCTGCATGTAAAAAGCAGTGAAAGAGCCTCAAAAGGGCACTGTTTGTGTCTTCATCTAACATCCTCCGGTACAAAGTGGTCTGTTTTGTTTCATTGTCTGTGGTTGCCGCAATTTTGCTCTTTATTCCATATATCATTGTGTCTATATACCTCAGGAGTGGAGCCAAGTGGAGGAGGAGAAATACTATTCTGACTATCCATTGGGCCACTGATGTATTTCCAACTGAGGGATCATCATGGTCTACTATGTACCTAAATAAAACGAATTTTAATTCAGACTAAAATATACGGGGTGGTCCCAAATCGTCTTGTTTATTCAAGTGATAACACAACTGAAGTGCTTGTTTTATACAAATTAATCAGAATCTTTGATATTTCAAAACATTCGATGATGATATGAAATTTTATAAATACCACCTTCATGGAGACCTGATTTTTTGAAAACCATTGATTTACTGAAATTGAATAATAGGACCTTTATCTTCTCTAATAATTGAAATAACATATTTTTTAAATAAAGTAAAAATAAAAATAGTAATAGCTATCTTCCAAAACAACCCCTCATTGGAAGCATGGGATATGAATAATACCCCATAAATTAATGTCCAGATGCTCTAAATTTAAATTTAAAATACTAAAAAGTTATCTCAAAGGACTTTGAAGGTATCAAAAATATTTATTTGACATCCATCATCTTCCTTTAAAGGGAAAAAATGTATTTAAAAAGGTGCCCCTAGTGTTTGATGTCCCGACATATACAGAGTGTCGCGCTTAAATATGATACAAGCCTGTAACTTTATTTTTTGGCCGATTTCAAAAATTTTTATTTGGGAATGTAGGGTAAAAAAACTCTACCTAACTGTGTGCACTGCTGTTTTTATTAATGCAATTTACAGCCAACTAGGACACATTTTCTTGACATCAAAACAGCTGATTGGTATTAGCGATTTTTTTTCCAAAAAAACAGATTACATATACTCATTCAGTATACCTTAAAACGTCTTACCACCAAATTTCATCAAAATCGATAAATCTTCGGGAGAGCACTCTATGGTGTCGCGAACTGTCTGTAATTTCTTTATTTTTTGACCGATTTCAAAAATTTTTTTTACAAAATGTAGGGTAGAAAAACTGTATCTGACTGTGATACTGCTGTTTTTTATTAATACAAACTAGTGCTTGTCTGAAGATGTATCGAATTTGATGAAACTTGGTGATAAGACATTTTAAGGGTTGCTGAATGGGAATACGTAATCTATTTTTTGGAAAAAAAAACCGCTAATACCAATTAGCTGTTTTGATGTCAAAAAAGGCGTCCTATAGTAGGATCGTATTCGTTGCAAAGTAGAGCAAACGATTGTCTGTCTTTTATCAAAGGGAAATTGTGTTATCATTTTTAAGACGCGTAAGATGAACCATTTCCAATTCAAAATGAAATTGAATGTAAAATCTGAAATACTGCATTATACGCATTGTGTTCTGGTAGTAGCTGTAGTCGCCCAGGTGCATCGAGTGTACAAAGTGGTCGGTTATACGTCAAATACTAACCTGGCGCGCTTGGTCATAAATCAGAGACCGTCTCCAAAAGCAAGTAAACAGTGGCGCGTACAGAGGTAAAATGTAGTACATATGTGGATTTTAAAAAACAAATTGGATTTATAATAAATAGTCTACAAGAATAAAGGAATTTTTGAAGGGACGGGGGTGCCAGACGTGAATTGATCCCTTCATAATGCATAAAGAAATTATTAAATTCCTAAACCCCCTAAAACCGTACTGCACTGGATCCCTTGACAGGCAATGATTTATTACTTTGCATCGAATATGATCGTACTATAGTTGGCCATGAATTGCATTAATGAAAACAGCAGCATTACAGATAGTTTTTTTTATCCTACATTCTAAAAAAAATAAATTTTTAAATCGGTCAAAAAACAAAGAACCTACAGGCTTGTATCACATTTAAGCGTGACACCCTGTACAAGACAGCTTATAAAATGTTAGGGGATAATATGCGGACTACCCTGTTTAAATAAATACAAAAATATTTTAGATCTAGTTTTGATCTACTGCTACTGTTGTATTGTGAGAGGTATACTCATATACATTTTTTGATTTCATGTTTAATGAATAAGTTTTGTTATTTTTATAATTATCATTTATTAAAATTATCCTCCAAGGAACTTCTAAATTTTAAACAGAAGTTACTTTTTTGTTAGTTACCTAATGTTTTGTGTAGGTTAAGCAACATAATTTTTTAACGTTTTTTTGGCGGACCAAACCATATTTAACATGGTTAACATGAGTTAGCCACTTGACAGATCTCGCAAAAAAGGCCGTACAAGTGAAAAAGGGGATCAAGTTCGCTAAGTATGTATAGCAATCTTGGAAGGGGATCTCGCAAAAAATTTTTTGGTTTAAGTGTCTAACCACAACAATCAAGTCGGTCAAGTTCCTGTTTAGATTAAATTGCGAAAATGCCAAACCGCAGTTAACTATAGTTAACAGCGTTAACGGTTTTCGCAACAAAAAAAAACACTATTATTTGATGAACGCTAGTTCAAACGAGACTCGACGTCTTGGAAATGTTTCTAGATTAAGTTTATATTGAATATTTTCTATTAATTTATAAATTCGCTATTAAACCAAGTATTCTGCATACCTAAAATTTGAAAAATATTTGTTTAAAATTTCCACTTTAAACAAATATGATATTCTCGGAATGAAAATTTCACACTAAAATTGTGAATTCACATTGACGCACACAGTTATGGGTTGACAGTGTTGACACACTGTGTAATAACTTTAGTTGAATTTGCTATTATGTTTTAGTAGATACCCAAAAAAGAACTAAAGTAAATGTATGGAAACAGTTATGGAATTTTGAAAAGTTATATAAAATCGACTATGCACCTTGAGATGTCAAAAAAACTTCATAATTTCATCTAGGTACCCACGATCAAGAGAAACATTTCCGGAATTTCTCTTTGTTGCCGCGGCAACGTTTAAAAATAACATCATGTGATTGGCTATAAAATAGACAAAGTATAGACACAGAAGATCAAATATTATCTTCTGTGGTATAGAGAAACAGAATAAAGATGGGTGGGTGGGTATTTACAGTCTATTCTAATGAACTTACAACCTAAGTTACTGTATTTGTTAGTAATATTTTAATGAGCAGCTCCTTCTAGGAGCCTCAAACACAGATTTATTGGTAAAATTTAACCTGTTAACCCAATCAATTGTAAAGGCATACGACTTATTAAAGCTTATTACTTTTATGTCACTTTAATAACCGAATGTCATTAATTGTAAGAATTTAAATATGACTGTCGTTTTGGCACACAATCAACAAACAAGGCTTTTTATATTTTTCTGGCACGGCTACAATATTCTCTTCAATCCAATTGGGAAAGTATCTCACTTGTTCTCCAAATTTCCACAGAAATTTTTATTGATAAATAATTTTACAACAGATAGAAATAAGATAAGATAAAGGATGTACTTATATAAAGCTGCGATAGAATAAATGAAAAATTTTCTTTAGACTTTTTCAAGGGACTAAATGAATTATGAAACTAAAAAAAAGAAATATTTTTATATTTCCCATTTATTCGGAACGATCTTATTATAAAACTGATGTGGGCGCGATTGTACTTGCAAGCGAAAAATATTTCGACATTTGTATATTATAACAGGCAAATTAAGGATTATCCCGCATTTAACGAAAATATTTAGTCGTTTTATAAATATTCTCGTCAAGTACTTAAAAATTTGTAGTTCTGTTATTCAATGTTATCATTATCAAAAGTTAAAAATAGGTACTATAAAATGTCAATAATTTTGTATGAGAGATATTAAAAGATTATCCATGAATTGTCATTTTACGACTTCAAGCGTGGGTAACTTGATATTAATTTATCTTATTCTGGATATTTAACTGACTGATCTTTTAGTAGCAGCGGTTTGTTTAATTTTTTTTTACAAGGCAAGAAAAGTGATTAAAATTCCACGTCTCTCACGTGGAAATCATCAGTAAACATATAAATAAAACAAACATTGTGAGAATTGCTTTTTCTATTGGTTACTCCAAAGCATGATTCATAATTATTTGTGATATTTGAAGGAGTACCTAATAAATCTATTTTTAATTATTACGCTAGGAAACAAATAAAAATCATACAAGCAGACATTTACAGTGTTTCCAAATTGTTTAGCTAATACCAAAACATTTTTTATACCTCCTACAGATTTTCTATCTTCAAAGTTCTTCCCACTCGGTTTCCTATCAAAAACAGTTACCCTGCGAGTTACCCCGGTGCGGTGGCTTTTTAAATGTTTGGCTTGAACGAAAAATTTACTATAGGTACATATATTTGAGGACCTCAAAAATTCTTTTCAGAAAAAAAAATATGTATATGAATTGGCGGTATGGACAAGTACGATACCAGATCTCGATCTCAGTACTATTGATCATTTCGGAGATATGCATGCACTTGGAATAAAGAATATATATATTTTTAATTAATTGAATTTATTTGTTTCCTGTTATTATAATCTAAATTTAATAATAATAACATAACAAGGGAGCAGTTGAAGAATAGAAAATCCATGGTGTCAATATAAATTCAAAAGATCTACATATATTAGCTTTGTTCCAAGTGCATTAGAATTAGTTTCCAACAGTCCAACGCAATCGCATTTGATTCAAAACAATGAATTTTGAACCTTATGTAAGCATTATATCCATATGCGCATGCGTCTGACTGTTGAAAACTGTTTTGGATTCTATTAGCTTTGTTCCTAGAGCAATCCAAGACGCATGCGCATTCTATACAGACACAAGTGGTGACCAAAAATGAAACCTCGTATTCTTTGGTGAATTTTAAGGGGAGTCTTTCCTATAAAGTTTTTATTTGGGACCCTTCATTAAAAAGATCTAGGGTGTTAAACTTCAAAAAATATTTTTATTTTTTTAAATAATTTAAAAAATAGTAACTGAAATAATTTGAAATTGAGCACGTATTTATGTAAACATTGTCCAAAATCTGAGTGCTTTTCCTAAAATTTACATACTCCAGTGGCGGAGATACGGGGTATCGGTGGCATATTTTTCTAAATAAAATAGTACGCCACTGCTTTACGGTAACAACCATGATATTTTCTGATTCGTCTTGCAATTTTCTACAAATTACATTAGTCATCATTTTAATGATTTTATTTGAGTAAATGCTCAAAAATACGTCCATTTCCACGAACACGGGCCCGACAACTTTTTATTAACGAAAATGTAATTTGTTCGAAATTTATTGTTGCTTGAATCTGATGAAATGCATTATTTTTCTTCTAACTGCTCAGAATGTCAAGGTTGCTATCGCAACCCACTATAAAATTAAAAAAAAGCATTTATATTCGAATATTTAAGTGTGTTCTCAGTTCGTTTTTTAAGTTTTACTCGAAAATCAGGCTTTTTTCGAAAAACATAAGAGAATAGTAATTTATGAATCGCCCTGTATAAAGCTTACATAAGGTTCAAAATTCATTGCTTCGAATCAAAAATGCGATTTCGTCCTCCCACTGCTGGGAACTGTTTCTAATGCACTAGGAACAATGCTATTGAAAAAACTACTGAAGTAAACATTATTTATATATTTGAAAATTGCAAAACCTTACATACCTAGGTACTTCAAAAGCTTGAAAAATGTAGGGTACATATTTATTTAAAAATGCATAAAAACCTACATCATGGTGTCGTATATGCTGTTTTTTCTAAAAAAAATAATTTTTTAGGTCCTCAAACACCATTATAACTTTCACAGGAAACTGTTTTTCTAAAGTTAAAGATAAAAAGGTTACAGAGCTGATCATTTTCGGCAAAATCAAGAATAATATGATCAATTTATGTGGTTATTTCAATCGACTCAAATATAAAAGTTAGAAATATAGATATATAAGTATCGTATATATAGCACAGTCCACAGTGTACAGATTAGTTTCCCCTTTAGAAAAGCAAAGCAATTTCACTTTAAAAAGCTACATGACAAAAATTAAAAATGTAGGTAGGTATCATCTAATTTGATCCATTTTTTCTGGTATTTCTTAAATAGGTACTTATTTGTAGTTGTTGGTAGAGCCAGAGCCAGGAAAAAACACTCAAATTATTATTTTGCTAACACCTACACTTATGGATAGTCAAGTACTAAATGCCTTTAAATTGTTTACATAATTTCGAGTAGTTATTCAAAATTCCAAGTCCAACACTCTAATCTAGGGTCCAACATCAATATTTTTATGTGATCTTTATTTACATACCAACATGTTTTCCTCTACAGAGGCTTTTAAAAATAGCCAGAAAAACTTACCATCTTAAACTAATCGTTGTCATAAACAAGGCAGGAATAATAACAAACGTTAAAGTCAATGCAAAATATAGTCCATGTCCGTTGACCGAGTAGAAATATAACAAAATACAGGCGAGTACTAAATCTAGGACGTAGGTTATGATGGATAGGGCAATGCAAACCGCGTAAAACATCCCGAATTTCTGAGTACTATCTGAAAATTTGTCGGGGGAATCATTTTGCTGTTTCAGGCTTTCTATTCTAGCCAAAGATGGATCTCTGGAAAATCGCACTACAGTACACTCCTCAGCCATTTCATAATAACCCGTCAAACAACACTTTAGAAAAACACAGTAAATATGGTTTTACATTAAATTTTATTAGTGGAACTACGGGCACTCTTCAGTATGTTTTGACGTTAGTAATAGGTATTTAAAATGACAACTGGAATTTCTAAAAAGGAAAAACCCTTCTAATACGACATCGCTTTTTCAGATTCGTAAGCCGTTAACCGTCTTTTACGCACTAAACACATTTCTACAAAATACTTTGAAGCTGCCCTATCAACGTTCACTAATAACTTCCATCTACTTGCTCGTACTCCTCGAAGCAATATAAAACTGTTTAGATTTGGCATCAACACAAAATGCTTGGGAATAATAGTGAAATGAAAATAAATAATTTTGACAGGTGGCAAACATCATTGCGCAGGTACAAAGTGGTCGCAAATCATTTTCAAGACCACAAGAATAAATGGGGGAGGGTTCGCGGATTTAACTCTAAACTCTATATAGGTGTAGGTATACAGAAACCTAAAAAATTTAGACCGTGTCAGGTGTCGGTTTATAAAATTTAACGTCATACACAATTTACAGTAATTTTATCATGACAGCCATGAAGGATATAATTAATTTTGACATTTTGTAAACAAGAATAATAAATGACTTTTATATGTATAAAAGACAATTATGTCACTATTGAAAATGGTTTCAAAAATCTACATATCCCAAAGATCGATGGGATATATGGCAAATAGATGCAAATACTGGTTAGAAAGAGTAGGAAATCGTGAAATGGTGGGATTTGGTATGAACGGTACACCAATGTACTTAGATCGACCAGATTTTCCTTTCTCTGCTATTAGATACAAGGAAACAACCCCTGAATTACAAGCACTTTATGAAAAACAAAAGGGAGATTGGAGACTATTAACGAAAGAGGAAAAGAAAACCTTGTATAGGGCTAATTTTTGTCAAACTTACGCTGAATTTCAAGCTCCCACTGGCGAATGGATGGAGGTGATCGGTTATGCGTTAATTTTTTGCTGTCTCGGTGTATGGCTCTTTATCATTGAGAGTCTTACGATCCACAAATCGCCCGAGAGTTTTAAACCTGCCTGGGTTAGAGCGCAAATGAGAAGGCAGATAGATTTGCAAGTGAATCCAATTACTGGGCTAGCTTCAAATTGGGATTATGAAAAAGAAGATTGGAAGGTTAAAAAATGGAATACACCATCCAATCCATTTATCAAATGCCCAGACGATGATGATTAGTATATTTATTTATAACGATTAATTCACTTCTTTTCTCTTCGAGTACTTGAATTAAAAACACTAAATAAACAACTAAATAATCTAATATATTAGGTTTTAATTAAAAAAATTGTAACTATAAGTATTTATAAAAAACTTAACATTTCATTTAAACGGTTCCAGTCATGATATTTTTTATGTTTCCATCAAATGACCTAAAAAAATATATATATAACAAAAGCGTTTAATGTCTTATATTACTGCGAGTAGGTACTTACTTTGAATATATTGTTTCACCAGGTATATAGAAAGGGTTACATACAATATCTGCATATTCAGAATGTATCTTTCTAAACATCTGAAATTTAGTAGTTATTAATAGGTACACAATTTTTTGTAAAATCATAATAAAAGCAAAAAGAACGCTAAATATTATTATTATTATTATTATTATTATTATTATTATTATATATACCTACTTACCGATCTTATCTCATTATCTCTCAGTGCCATATTGGTAGAGTCAACAACAATTATAAACTTTATTTTTGTATTCGTGACATATCCATATCTGTTGCTTATTAAGGTAAAATAGTTACATACATATTATATAAAATAACGTTATATTTCAGTTACAATAAAAGGATACATTTTATGCGTTTCCAGAGAGTACAGCATCCCCAAATATAATTCCCGTAGATCACTTCCACTTTTCGATCCAATATTTAATTTTTCTTCGACAATATCGAGTGAAGATAAAACTTTATACTGAAAATTCAGCTCATCATCGGGATTTAGGCATGTAAAAAACTTTGGAGAGTTCTGTAAAATAACGAAGTTAGAATATTAATACCGGATATAATTATTTATTTTGTATCGAGAGCAACACGTCCTTACTCCATATTCACATCACATCAAGGAACATACTTCATTTAAATCATTTAAAACAAATTAACGAACCGTGCCGTGATGTCAGTTCACTTGGATCACAGTATACTAATCAATGTTGGATTACTTGGTTTTGAAGGTTAAATTAAATGTCAAAACGTAACGTGAAATTATCAGCAGATAAAGTACTCGTGGTTTTAGCAAAATATTTTAAATACAAAAAATATCATCAAAGGAAGTTACTTTATTAGTGCAAAGTCCAAAATAAATATAAATTTATAATTACTTACATCTTTTCCAATAATTGCCACACAAACTGCCATTGTTTGTACACGTTCTAAACCAACAGAATGGTGACTCTTTATTGATTGAGACAGCAGACAGTGGCGCGATTCTTAAAAAATGTTGCCTCGGTCCCTTCGAAATGAAGACAGAGCTTATGTTCGCTTTATAAATAAAACAGATAGGATGGTGGAACTGATATGGCTTGATTTTGATGGAAGGTATGTAAGGTACCGGATTCTAGAAAAAGATCATTTTTTGGATGTTAACACATATAAAAATCATCCATGGATAGCATTGGACATGAAGACTAAAGACAGGTTACACATAGAAAAAGGTTTTATATACAATCCTAAAACTAGCAGGGAATACTTACAAGAGAGATTCCCAGATAGAGAAATCCCAGAGAATTATGAAGCGAGAATCAGAGTCAATATTACCTTGCCCTTATATACTTTAAAATATAGATCATTAATTGAAGTCAGGAATCATTTTCGAACTGTTGAAGATGTTGATAAATTAGAACTACCAAAACCTTTAGCTGAAGATTTAAAACGAATCATTGAACATAGAAATTCTCAATCAGCAGTTGATATACAAGTTTATTAATAAATACAACATTACATGGGGAGATAAGACTGATCGAGATGTGAAAGGTAATTCATGTACCTTGTTTGAATATTTTCGATAAATTAAAATGGCAAATTTGAAGTTGAAATGTCGCACCAAATGTGGTTTTTATAAAACTATTGTTCATTCATGGGTAATATTATCGTAAATGGGTTAATAAGAATAAGAAAGAAGTTTATATATGATACCAGCAGAATCAAGTGTGATAACCTCTGTAATTTCCTGTGAGGATCTGAAAAACTATGTAGTAATAGAACTAAATATGTATGTTGCTTTTTAACCAAAATAATTGTAAATGGTGTCTGTAGCTATTTCTATAGCCACAGAAATAAAAACCGACAGTTTTGAAATAACAGTAACCAGCTCTTTACATAATTGTTAGTTATAAACTCGGGGATTATTACGTTTTTTCAAAATTTTTTCATTAAATATCGAACATAAGTGTATCCCTATTTTGTTCTTATTTTTCGATATAGAAAAAAATTTGTAGGAAACTTTTTAGATTTTCTAAAGAAGTGAAGAAGATATACCTAATTGATATTTGGAAGAAATGTGCACTTCATGTATCTTTTTTTTATTGGCCACCAAACTTCTAGGTGTCCTCGGTCAAAAAGGGTGAGCTAATTGAGAAAATTATTACACTTAAAAAAATATAAATTTTTCTAAACACTAAAGATGGCATTTTAAAAAACCTCCAGACTGTAAGTTGTCAGTATTCGCATAAAAAAGAGAACAAAAAAGTTATTACACTACATATTTAATTTGTATAGAGCCTTAATAAATGATTACAAGCCACATGGTCAGTAATTTTATTTGGAATAGTAATTTTATTTCCTTCATGTTGGCAATTAAATTTCGGTAAAATTAAAAATTATTAAAAAATAAGATTTATGAAAACTGGTAAAAACCAAAGCCAAAATTGTTCAATTAAACTTGTATGTCAGTTCTCTTAAGTTGTTTGATAAAACGAGATAACGATTTTCATTACAAAACATCCTACATAAATTGTAAGTAGAACAAGTGTGCAACACAAACATTTTTATGATTAGTAGCTTTTGTTATATGTTTATAAAATTATACTTATATGTTTATATATTCATCTTACCACAGAATTTTTGTATGGACAGAAATGAAATAAATGTGATTAATATTTTTCTTTGTTTTTATAAATAAAACCCTTTCATTTACATTAGATTAGTCATTAGAAGTCCTACAATATAATCGTATTGTTTTTTTTTACCTAAGGATGTATTGTATGTTCCATTTAAGACTTAGTTGTTATAAGAGCTAGTAGCTTGCGTAATTAAATTTATGGTATTCAGACATGAGATGGTGTTGTTTCTCCGATGTTCTGGCTGATTAAGGTTTTGATCCTATGACATTAACATACTAAACAAAATATCTTGATGTGATATTATTTTATAGTCTAAAGAAATTTTGATAGGTATTACATATTGCAGGTAGGTACTTTCATGTCATTTAACATCATGTGAATAACTTCATTTATTAGATACACCGTTCCAATATCGACATGACTTGTCGTCACACTCATTGGGATACAGTTTCAATTATTTCAAGTTCAAGGCTATGCAAATTTGGTAAAAATAAACAAAAGTTAAGGGCTTTTAGCATAAATTACACAAATTGAAAAAATTATATAATTCCCTTCTTTTTGTGGTAAATACAGTAACGACGAATTTATGGACATGACGATAACTTACATCTATATGTACAGCAATTCACAAAAAAGACATGCACCAACACTTGTAAATAGAGGCAGAGGTATTGGTGGAATCAACAGTTCCAAAAAAGCTTTCATTGTATCAGTATGGTAAACAATAAATATTGCAACCGTTTTTAATTGTAAAGTATTTTTTCAAGAATATATTCAAATATATTCCATTAGAGTACTTTGTTTGAAAACAAATTTATTTTCTTTCACTCCATTGACGAAATATTGTTCTAAACATTGGAAAAAAATTCTCACCTTTCTGGTTTTAATTTTAAGTAGGTACTCGCTATTTTGATTTAAAAATTTTCCCATTCATTTAACACTGAAACCTACTTTTCTTTTTTAATAATCCATATCTCAGCTGCATTTGACATTATTTTATTGTCCATAGGCGATAATTATCTGGAATCTTTGTTCTTTGAAACTGTCCATAGTAGGATCTAAGCAACTTGATAGTTTCACTAAAAAATCTTGAAAGTTCATTTTTATCGATTTTTGCATTTTTCTCAAATTACTAGACTTACATTGTACAGGAAATTAAATTTGCTGCTCAGTATCTAAGCTTAAATACAGAGGACCTTTTTATAGCAAATTTAATTTCCTATAAAAATATCATTTACGTTTTTGCTGTAAGCAGTTTGGTCATTTGTGAGAAAAATGCAAAAGTCAATAAAAATTAAAGTTAAGATCTTTTAGCAATGAAACTGTTAAAAGTCCCCTATAATTATTGCTTATGGACAATAAAATAACGTGAAATGCAGCTGAGATATAGGTAACTAAAAAAAAAATGTGTTTACGTGTTAAATGAATGGGAAAATTTAAAAATCAAATAGCGGGTACTTAAAATTAAAATTAAGAGCTGAAATTTGGTGAGAATTTTTTTTCCAATGTTTAGAACAATATTTCATCAATGGAGCAAACAAATTTTTTTTTTTCAAACTAAGCATTCCATACTATTTCTATTTAAAATTATGTGTTACACATATATTTTTAACTCTTATTTCTGAAGATTATATTGTTTGTTTTAAATATTTTCCCTATTGTTATTTATCTGCAGATATTTTTAAGTGATTTTGAGTAATTTTACTTTACTTATTTTTTTGTTTGTTTTTTCTTTAAATGTAACTTGTAATTGGGCTCTGCTTGTTGGATTTTTATCACAAAATAAATAAATTTATTAAAAATATATACAGGGTGTTCCATTCAATACTCCGCCAATATCTATAAAATGAAAAAAATTATTTTAGTTCCGGAAACTGGGGTTGGCAGGTCCCTCGTAGAGCTTCAAATTGCAGTTAAAATTGTTAGTTCAAATCTCTGTATAGATGGCATGGCGAAACTAAAAAATGTTTTGATTCCTAGAATGTGGAAATGCCATCTCAAAGATCGTTAAATTTTGAGTAATTTTTGTAATGTAAAGTTTTTCCCAATATTTACTTGTTTTCGAGACATATCGATTTCAATATGCAATGTATGATGTAACAGAAAAATCTATTTTTTTATTTAAATCACACTGAGACAAAATATTCTTTTAAAATATTGTTATAATAGCTTTAATCACACCACTAATAAACAATAAATTATAAAAAAAACAAATGATCAACTACATAAAAAAATTGTACAATGGTAAATCTTATAACTAGTATAGTTACATCAAAAAAATGTGTCATCTGTTTACATGTTTTATTTTAAACAAATGACATAAGCCACCTATGACTGAATTTTTTAATATTTGATATAATACGGTTCATCTTTTCCCTTTTTTAAGATTTACCATTGTACAAATTTCTTTTTCTGTAGTTGATCATTTGTTTTTTTTATATAATTTATTGTTTGTTAGTTAGTATGTGGTGTGAATAAAGCCATTATAACAATATTTTAAAAGAATATTTTATCTCAGTGTGGTTTAAATAAAATAATAGATTTTTCTGTTACATCATACATGTTTCAAGGATCAAAAAATTTTTTAGTACCGCTGCACCATCTATACGGAAACATTTGAATTAACTAACTGGAATTTGAAGCTATTCGAGGGACCAAACAACCCCAGTTTCCGGAACTAAAATAAATTTCTTGATTTCGGAGACATTGGCAGCGGGAGTGTTAAATGGCACACCCTGTATATACGACAGTTCAGTTTTTAACATTCTGTATTTTAATTTAAACATCACTATCAAAAGACCGAAATTAAATGGAATAATCATGATTCATTCGATTTGTAACTAGTCATATTTTGTAAAAAATTTAATTACAAAAATTTTTTCCTCTTCCATTTTCGCCTAAAATCAACTCTTATTCTGTAATCAACATAATCAAATAGGAAGAAAAATATCACATTTTTCAAATTTTTTTAACATGTTTTGCCGCCAAAGTTAAGCCCACGTTTTTTATGCATATTGAAAAATTTTCATTTTTAGTGACTTGTGAAAGCAAAAATTCTCCCTGGATATACAATTCACCCAAATATGGACTTTTTGAAACAGATACCGTCTGGACTAAATAGCTTATTTTGAGAGTTATTTTCATCAAAGCCATAATAAATACGATACATGTTTAAAGTTCTAAAGGATGGATGTATAGCAAGAAAAGATATACCAAATATAATTAAAATATATATTTTTAGAAAATTTGTACAATCACAATTTTTTAAGTCCATTAAGAACATACATTCCAATAATTTCACTGGTACATTTAATCAACTAATTCTTAACAAATGCAATGGATAAATACACCTGTATCAGCTTAATAGTAAATAGTTTAATTAACATACACACCCACTTACGGGAAATCATCAACAAATTTACAGGGGTATTAATAAAGATTTACATCATTAATGTTTCAATTTTTTCCATATAAAAAATAATTTTCGAATATTGTATGACTATTTGTTGATTACTGTCTATCACAGGAAAATTTTGGATTAAAAAATTTGAAACATCCTTTCGTAATTATTCTTTTTCAATACTAATCTGTAAATTAGGATAAGTTCTTTAAAATGTTTTTAATACAATACAAGTATGACTCTAGCTGCAACTATAATAAATATGATGTTAGATACGTTACGCAATAAATAATAATTACAATTTTGGCAATTAACAGACAACTTGGTAGGTTTTTTCTACATGATAACTTAGTTTCCATAGATTTTTGAAAAAAGTGTGTTTTTACAATAAACGTTTCCTGAAATATTTGTTAAAGTTATCAGTAGCGGCTTGTCAGGTGACGCAAGTGACACACCGCTTCACCTAAAATTTCCATTTGGTTGTGCAATTTAAAATTATTTTTAATTTTATATAAATTTTATAATTTAGGTATAATTCTATATTGATAATGTATTTTCTTTGTTTGTTTTATACTCAGAAATAACTAGCACGGTCAACGCCTTCTAAAAAAACATTGCCTTCGTTGAGCGCGAACATCAACCTCGGACCATACAACGTATAGTATAAACAAGTGATACGATCGAATCAGTTTGTTGTTTTGCTTTACTTCGTAGCATTGTTTACGGTGGTTGTCATGGCAACGAGGCGGCCAATACATGATTAAACTACGGCATGGGGAACGAGTGACGCAGAAATTGAAGCCGCATTGTCATCGTTATCGCCCATCGCCTGCCTTTAATCAGTTTATACGATACGTCACCCAGTGCACGATTATAGCGGTTCTTTGTTAATATTTGTTTTGTGTCAATAATTGTAGAAATGTTTCCTATGTATGATCCAGTATGTATTTTATTAGAAACGCCATTTTCCAGATGGAAAATTGAGGACAAAAAGATTTTTTAAATTGCGAAAGACCTCCGTGCCTTCTCTCGATGTGGAAAAAAGGAGGAAGTCAAAAGACAAAATGTACGTTCAGAACTTTCGGAATGAATGGTATTTGGAGTGTAAGTGGTTGTGTGGAAGTGTTTATTTAAAAAAAACTTTTCTGTAAGCCGTGTTTAATTGTGTGAAATCGGGCTTGTGAAATAAGGAGGTATTTAACAATTTTGGGAACGTCAAGCAAGGCTGACATAATCACGAACCTTCTTTAGGACATATACGGTGTAAGTTAATGTTTGCAGAAGTCCACAAGCCAAACTAATATTTCTATTTTTTATAAAACCTAAATGAAACTCCTCGCGAACGTCAGTTTTTCGGTAATATTGTAAATTCAAGTAAAAATTTCCAGATTCATTTAAAGACGTTTAGCCTTGAAAATTTGAAATTTTCGCCTCAAGCGCATTTTTTTAGTCAATCAATACTTCACCTATTCTCAATGTCACGAGCCGCCACTGAAAGTTATACATAAAAAAATTTATATTGTCAATTTTAAAGTTGTACAGTAACTTAAGCTTTTAAAATTTATTATAAATATTAAAATTTAAAGTGATTTTCATTATCAACAAAATTGAAATTTAACAAAATACTATACCTTCTGCTACACTATACAGGATGTAACTATAAGTGAGGGCCATTTTTTTAGAGATGTTCCCTAGAATAATAGCCTGAAATATATATATTTTTTTAAATCAAATAATGGTCGAGTTGAAAATTTGTCTTTTAAACTGCACTTAAACTCATTTCTCCCTTGTAAAAACAAATTTGTTTCTAGATGTCAAAGGTATTTTCGTTATAAATATGACCCCCATTCACCATTACACCCTGTATATTATCTTTGAAAATTTATTGAAAATATTTAATTTATCACATCGTTGATATCAGATTGCAAAAATAATTATTTGATATTTTTCTGTCCTTTTTAGTGCAGTTGCTTTTCAATTCAATTCAATTTTCAAACTAATCAGACGTTCATAATTTTACGAACGTTTATTTCATGATAGTAATCTACAACACTCAATCTCCTTACAAGTCATTATCATTATCAATCTATTAATAAGTCACTGATAAATTTCATTAAGTTAGATAGCTTTAGCTGTTTTTTATCGAAAAAAAAAATGAACAATTACGAGTCTGAAATTAATAAAATTAAGATTTTTGGAAACCTTTTGGATTCTTATTCTGCCAATTCCAAGTGTCTTTACACATATCTTTCACGTCTCTTGTGGCTGTCCAGTTCAGCTCCTTCTTGGCCAAACTGGCGTCCGCATAACACGCAGAGATGTCACCTTCCCTTCTGCATGTTATTTCGTACTTTATCTGTTTCCCTGAGGCCTCGGAAAAAGCTTTCACCATTTCTAATACTGAATAGCCACGCCCTGTGCCCAAATTGTAGGCTTTCCAGGACCTGAAGTCGCACTGGAAAATCTTTTCCAGTGCTTTTAAATGCCCTATAGCGAGATCAGTTATGTGAATGTAGTCCCTGACTCCAGTTCCGTCTGGGGTTTCGTAATCGCCTCCAAATACTTGGAGTTTCTCTCTACGACCTACCGCTACCTGAAAAGCAAAAGGCGAGACCTGTGACATCGTAAAAAGCTTAAAGACGATATTAAATAAGTATCAAGTGGAAACATGGATAAATAATTACATCAACAAAATACTTTACGGCTAAAATATATGAATACTATTTATATATTAAATGTTGGCAAATAGATTGTGTTTTATGTATATTTTAATTGATATACTGTATTATTGAGTTTTCAGGATAAAATTCATTGCTATATTTCTAACGATTTCTTTGTACAAGATTTTTTTAACAAACATTAGCCTTTTTCATAAAATTTATATATGTATAAATCAATGTTAGTCTGTGTGTCAGTTATGGACTCGAATACTACTGGATCGATTGAGCTCAAGTTTATTGGCAATGTTCAATACATTACTGAAAAGGTTTACAAAGTAGTTTGAACAATTTTCAATACACTATGCATTATTTCCCTCTTTTCAACTCCGTCTATGGACATTGGACACACTGTATATAAATAAGTTTTAAAATTAAACATGATAAACACAGTTCCAGGACAATGTACCACAAATTATAGGGATAATGCAATATTCAAAATTAAGATTTTTTCTATTAACGTTTTTTTTTAAAGGTACAATGCGTTAAACTAATTATTTTTTGTGAATTTTGACATATGTTTTGCCTAAATAGACCGATTAGTTTTCAATTAGAGATAACGTTTGTTAAGTTCTAAACAGGGAATATTTTTAGGCTAAAGCAGATTTTGGGGTATTTTTCTACACAAAAAATGTATTCTTTTCAAAATTAAAATTAACTAAACCGTTTTGTTTTCATTAAAAAAACTCAAAAAGTGGAAACGCGTGCCAAATATTAATCCTCCTAATAACATTGCCTATTAAAACAATTGCTAAAAAATTAAATAATCTATTCACAAATTTTTACTATTCAGAGTAAAGAAGGTAAACAAAGAAAATTAATAAAAATAAAATTAAAAATACAAAGAAAAAAATCTGTTATAGATATTTAAACTGATTTTCTCGAAAGCATAAATTAACCTTCTCGCTGCTTTTTACGATTGAAATTGTGAAAACTAGAAAGTCTCCTAAATGCTGATAGCATGTTTTTTAAATTGATTTTATATCCAACACTAAATATACTTGTCAAGAGCCGTTTATACAAACAAATACATCTTTTTCACTTAAAAAGTACAAAACATTAAAAATGGCGATAAAAATAAAGAAGAAGGCCTATAATTTTCTTTTGGTGTCAACACTGTCGAGAGTGCTGTGACCCTGGCTCCCTAATGTAGCTATCGCTAAATTAAATAAATTAGTATACTACAAATTGCTGCACAGTATTTTTTTATCCAAAAATTATCCAAATTTACTGTAAAATAAAACACTTATAACAAAACATCAATTTTCAACTCTCAACCTCAAAAGCTAATAACTCTATAGGGCAGGGGTCGGCAAGTAATTTTAGGTGGGGTCCGGATATTTTTGAAAATTTTTAACTAGGTCCAGAAAAAAATTCATATTTCTTATTTTTTTATTTTAATTTGGACTCAAATTTAATCTGCTTACTAATTAAGAACTCAAAACACTCGCACAATTGTAAAATACTAGAAAAATTGATAAGATTGGCACTTAAACGTAAAAAACATTTTTTAAATAATTTATTTGAGTAATTTATACTTTCAAAAAATTTTTGGCGGTCCAGTATTTTACATTCAGCGGTCCGGATCTGGACCGCGGTCCGCCAGTTGCCGACCCTTGCTATAGGGTAAGCCCAAAGAAAAAAAAAAGTTATATAAATTTGAGGCATTATTTCTCCAAGACCTCCAAATCCAGGAGATTGCCCACCATTTCTGATTTCAATTCGATTGACATGTGATAAGCTTATGGCAGTGTTGTTATTATAATCTGTCAAGAGCATTTTTCAACATAATACCGATTTAAAAACAAAAAATAAATATATTTTCTAAATTCTTAACATGAGTTGTTTAAGTTCATTAAAAATATTAACTCTTTATTCTTATTTTCATGTTAATTACTTAGTTTTTCCAATTATTTTAAAAAGCGATATTATTTTATGGTCTGTAAAATTTAAGAACGTCTAACCGAACAAAAAAAAAACAGTGCAATAAATTTTTTGGAGATAATAATCAAAGCTCATATAAAAACATATATTTTTGTGCATCTTCAAAAAGGAAAAAAGATGATACACAGAGTTCATAAAATTTTTTTTAGTATTCTATCACCACAAGAAATAGAATTTATGGTACATAATTCTAAAACACCCAATAACTTGTAATTTCACTGAACATATATCTAAAATAATTTATATTTTTAAATAACATTAACAATGTTTTTGTATAATATTTTTAAGTGGAATATTCAGATAAGGTAATGTTTGCGATAAGGTAAACGTTCAAATTATTTAAATACATTTAATAATTTCTTATCTATGTTTTTTGTATTGTATTTCCACGAAATAGTCTCTGTACTTGTTCGATCATTCTGTAAACAGGTGACTTAGATCTTGAAATGCAAAACCTTTTAAAAATTATTTACAAATTCTTAAAAACAGCGTGTCATAATTGAAGAGGTTAAAAAAGATGTTATACCAGTATTTCAGACCAGTTTCACAAGTACCTAACTGTATATAGATTACACTGTAAAATTATATGAAAGTTTACCTGAGAAATATATGGCATCAAATTATTTGGTATTCCTGAAGGATCTTCTCCTATCATCCCTGAGTCATGTGCACCCACCGGATTAAAGTACCTCAAAAGGATCACTTTCCATTCCTACAACAAACACATTAGCTTAGGAGCCCACACATATAATTTTGGATATTCGCAAATTAAATAATTAACAAATTGCTCAAAAAACAACTTGGATTTTTTTAAAATAAAAATATTTGGTGGATCTCAGTAATCAAGTAATTATATATTCAGACATTGACCTTTATAAAAAAGATCAAATTTAAAATATCATTTAGTATACACACACACACACACAACGTTTGAATATTTTTCAGTTTATATTTTTAGCTGTAGTGAAAATTAGAATAAAAGATGATGAGTAAAGTCTTCTTCATCGTCATATATTTGAAATGATGTAATAAGAAATAATCAATGGCAATTTCTTCATCCTGATTGGTTAATATGTGACACTTAAATTTTATTAATAGTTAACACTAAATTAACTATTCTTCAGTAAACACGTTAGAAAGGATTTTTAATACAGCCAGAAATAATCTGAGAATTAATTGTGCAATACCTATAAGTTTATAAAAAATTAAATTGAATATTATTTTTTTTTAGTATGTAGTACTTATATTAGCTAACATATTGTTTTTCAAATAAACTGTAGATTATCCATCCCTTTTAATAAGTAATTATCAATGTTTCACTTGAATTTCAGTTAACATTATCTAATATTGTATAGTAGGCATTAATCTTATCTGAAATTTCGAAATAGCACTTATACTCACTGGATCTGAAGTACAAACATCTTTCATAATTTCTTCAACAAAGAATTTGGTCTTTCCATAAGGATTTGTGCAGCCTTGACCTGTAGGATGATCTTCAGTAATAGGTAAAAACTGTGGATTACCATAAACTGTCGCCGATGAAGAAAATACTATACTTTTTACACCATTTTTAGCCATTACCTAAAAGTAAAAATTGCTATAGTTGTTATGGCAAAATTAGTCTCTTAAAACGGACTTCGAGCAATGTTGCTGATCCACCAACGTTATTTTGGTAATAGGTTAGAGGAATTTTCACAGATTCTCCTACAGCTTTTAAAGCTGCAAAATGAATGACAGAATCAATTTTGTGCTAAAAATTAATAAGTTAATAATATTTAGAATACTATTAAAACTACACATACAGTTTTAAAAATCTTATCTAAAGCCTCTCTATCCCGAATATCTACATTGTAGAATGTAACAGTTTCTCCAGTAATTTGTTCGACTCTTTTTAATGACTCTGGTTTTTCGTTGCCAGAATAGCAGTTGATCATATTGTCTAATGCTATAACGGTGTAATTATTCTTTAGCAGTTCTACTACTGTATGAGATCCTACATAACCTCCACCTCCTGTTACTAATATTGTGCTGTTACCCTTCATTTTTTCAATCGTGACCCACCACCTACAGGCAAAAAAATTATGTTTTTAACATAAAACTTTAAAAAACATGGTTTCATTAGTTAATTAAAACTTACCTGTATCTACTTACTTGGTTAAATATCCGAGAGGTATGATGGCATAATAAAAGAGTACGAACACATAACTAGATTTATATAGTAAATTGAGCATTGTTATCAGTAAATTTTTTGTTTATAATTTGAGATAGCGTCGACAGTAGGTTCATTTATTTGGTTACATCAACGACGACTCGATCGCGTGTCAGAAGTCAGAAGCTAGATATAAAATCGTGTCAGGCAGCCAGCACTGCCAGCGCATCTTCGCCAGCAGGTACTAGTCGGCACGTCATCATTAATTTAAAATCTTAGATTATTCTTATTATTTATTTATTCCTATAAAGAATACACAATTAGAACTAAATATTTTTATAACTTCTCTAAGTACCAATTTTCGAGTTGAAATTAAAATACAGATATTTTTAATTTTTCTCATTTCTGATTTTTTTAGGATATTGAGGAAACATATGACAATTAGTTTAGGCATTATCTTGTTATTAAAAAGAAGTATTAATTATTTTATCAACGGAAGTATCTTTTGTGTCAATAAAATTCGTAACGCGAAGTTTACCAAACATATAGGCAACTTTCAATACCAAGCACTAATTTATTGGTTGCAGTTTTAATGATTTAATATATATAACTATATTTTTTTTATAAAACCTAAAAAGTAAGCAATGACATAAAAAAATGTAATTGAAATATATTTTTCATAAGTCTATTTCTTTTTAACAATATTTGGCATTTTTCGATCGTTTCACCTTGGTCTTGTTTATTTTTAGCAAACTACAAACCTAAAGAAGATGAAGAAGAAAATAAAATGTGTTTTATAGTAGGCAAGTCCGGTATTACCACATACTTCTATCCTTCTATTCCTTCTATAGAAGTATGTGGGTATTACCATCTAGACGCTCCAGATGGGTTTTGTTCTTTTCTAATTGTAGGAGATGAAAAGACAAAGAGATACATCTAGAGCCTCTAGACTCTAGATGTCAATACCGAACTTGCCTAATGACTCATTTATGCCTTATCTGCTTATGTCACTTTTTGACATGTCGCTGCTGGTTAACATTGACATCACAGATTAGTAAAAGGTTTATTGACATTGATAATTTTGGTGTTGTTTTAGTTTTTTTTTATTAAAATTGGAATATTCCTCAATCTTATTCATACTAATAGACAGAAATATATCATATACTATTAGTTTTGTAAGGCACTTTTTTAAATTTTCATACATCTACGCATTTTTATTCCATTTGAAATATGCCTAGAAGGGGTCGTGTAAAAAAAGAAGGACCGGAATCGGGAGAAGATTCCGATGAATATAGAAAAAGAAGGGACAGAAATAATTTGGTGAGTTACGGTTCAGACATGATTTGTTGTCTCATATTATGCAATTTTAGGCTGTGAAACGTAGCCGTGTCAAATCGAAGCAAAAGACACAGGAAACCGTAAACAGAGTAAATGAATTGAGGAATGAAAACACAGTTCTAGAAGAAAAAGTAAAAACTCTTACAAAGGAGTTGGGCTTTCTAAAAGAGCTCTTTCTTGCACATGCATCTAATAATGTCGATTCCTCCAAATTTGAGGGTGTTAACTTGCAAAAACTGCTTCAAGACGATTCGTCTGCTGGGACAAGTAGTGATAAGAATACTTAATTCAGTAAAGCTTTGTACAAAATTTGCCTACACTAAGCTGTTACGAGTCAGCAGTTGCTAGTAAAAAGAATTTTGCTAGTGGATCTCAAATATTTATTGAAATCACATGTAAAATATTATTTTTGCATACTATCACAATTTTAGTTCTTTATTTCTTCAAAGAATTCTGCATTATAATTTAATAAAACACAGGTTTAAGGTTTACATTTTTAATAACTGCATTATTTATAGAAACGTATGTTACATTTTAATCTTATAGAATAATTTGTAATGAATTTTTTTGAAACCTGTATTGTGCAATTAAAAATTTTTGTTTTTAATTTTTTAAACATTGATTTCTAATGTGATACCGTTTTGTATATTTCTATGATAAATTACATAGAAGTCACGTTTGCTAAATGTTACTACATATTTTAAAATGAATGAAGTAGTCATAAAATGAGCTGAAGTACAAATGCACATATCCAAATTAATTTTTTTATGTAATATGTACTCGTTTGTTTTTTTTTAACTATTATAAAAAACTTATTTTAAGGTGCATGTTGAAAAATTAAATGTTTATTACTGTATAATTGTATATATTTAATCTAAACAATTTTATGAAATAAAGTTTTTTATATTTTGAATTTATTTTTATTTTCTTTCACATCGTTTACTACTTATTAAATAATAAATAACTTGTTTTAAATACAAGCCAATTACTTTCATTAAGATTTTTATACCGATTTTATAAAATAGCGATTTTGATGAAAGTGTAACTATTCCTTTTCTACTATTTACATTCTTAACCGTACCGTTGATGCATACTTTTTCCAATGATACAGTTATTAAACTAAAAACATCATTTCTGAGAATTTAAATTGTATCCATAAATAAAATCACATTACATTATTAATTATTTTAATAATATGTAACAAAAATAAATATTTCCAATGTGTCAAAAACAAAATATTTTTACATTCAAAACGATGCAATTTTAAACTTTTAAATTATTCTTGATATACTGCAATATCTGATGCAAATATTCTCTATTATCACATTCAGCACAATTCAATTCTAAATATATATTTGTTTCTTCTATTCTAACTGCTAGTGTAAATTTAAAAAAAACTGCAGCTGCTTCTCCACTGTTTGTAGTTATTTTCAGTTTTTTCATTAACGAGCCATCGAAACACTCGTGGGTTCTCTTTCCAGGAGACTTCTTTAGATCAACATCATTGTCATTACTGTCTGTATTTGTACTATTCCGCCCTTTTGGTGAGTTAGCAGAGTCATTGTTATTTTCAGAAAGTTCATTTGCTCCATTTTTATGTTTCCTCATTTCCTCTCTTCTTTTTTTCCTTTGATTCGCCCAAGTATTAGAGAAAGCAGTCACAAAGTAACGAAGTATATTTTTATTTCTTGAGACTTCTTCCACTACCATTTCAAGTTCTGCAAACATTTTTAGTAACTTATCAGCGGCGAAAGTTATTGAATATTCATTTACATTTGTTAAGGGAAGTGGATGTATTAAAGGATGTTTTGGTTTAGTTTTTTTAGACTGCTCTTTGATGGGATCATGAATTTTTTTCAAATCAAATTCTTTCGAAAATGTCCAAGCTAAACCCCATCTTGTTGTATTTCCTTGACAGAAATAAGTTTCGATGAAACTCTCTACTTTTACTTCTCGTAAGGCTTTCTTCAATGTGGGTAAGCTACACTTCTGACCGATCATAGTAGAATAAATTTTAACTCTTTCGCCTAAATTCTTGCTTTCATTAATCAATTTTGTTATAAATTCAACTTCCCCTCCTTTTGATACAACTTCGTTAACAGAAGCACAGAACGCATTCTTCGGATGAGGCCTGCTGCTTTTTCTAGATTTAAAAAAAGGGTGTAACTCTTCTACATTTGAGAAAAATGGTGGATTGCACATACAAAAATCATATACTTTGTCATCAATTACATCTTCTAGTAGATTTCCCCCTTTCACTTCAACAATTGTTATAAAGTCCTGCAATGAATTATTTCTCACATTGCTTTTAGCACAAGTAACACTCTCTGTATCTTTTTCGGTAGCAATCATTGACCATTTATTCTTTTTGGCTGCAAGCAAAGGATATATGCAAGATGCACCGGTTCCAATATCAATGCCAATTATATCGTTAAATCTTTCAACAGAGTTTAATAGATCCTCTATCCACAGAATGTAATTTAAACGTAAAGGGATCGTTGGTATGAGTTTACTCGGGGGTATTTCAACAAAAAGACTAAAGTCTTTTTTCAGCAGACTACAAGTTAAAGCACGGAGACAGTTAACATCTTTAAAGTCTACAGTTACTTTTCCAGTTATATCTTGTTTTACAAAAGGTCTAAATTCCGGAAAGTCTAAAGCTAACTTTTTAAAATCCGGAGGTGATTTATAAATATTTCTGGGATGCATATATTTGTTCATCGACATATTTCTGAATGTGAAAAATTTTATACAAAAACTAAAAACATACCTAATTTCACGAAATATATTACAAAAGTATTTCGGAATCACATCTTCGTTTAAAAAACATAATTGAGGTTAAAGAAATTACGAATGAGTAACGTTTACGCGCCTTATCACCATTGATCATTGTGATGAGATAATAGAAGAGTAGTATCAAAGATATAAATATCCTTGGAGTAGTATAACTTAAATTTCGTGTTGCTACTTTTGGAACAACGATGTATGTGGGAGAAGCGGAATGATCTTTGATCATAAATGCAGATTAATGATTTAATTTATTAATTGTAATAGTAACAATTTAGCATGATCTAATAATTGGATTACCCAATATGCAGGAAAAAATTACTAATTGTAACCGCGCGCCATTATTCTATGGCTAGAAATTGGCCTCAATGATTTGGGATCGAGGGGGATTATCCCTCTTTATCCTGCCTCATCTCGTGTAGGCCTGGACAGCCTTCGTAGGTGGGCCCCATCCGTCGTCTACCCCGACCGCAAATGCGGCCGGTGTAGGCGCTTTGTGGGACCTCCTTTTGTCCTGGCTGGGCCCCGCCGGCTAGGGCCCTTTCTTCTGGCGCTCTTCTTGCTTCGCCGGCTCGTCTGTGTAAACCCCGGGGGTAGTGTCATGTTTATGTGTGGTATGGTTGGGTAGGGTAGTGCGGCTATGCAGCCTGGGATGCGCTTTGCTAAGGTGGCCCTTAGGCTAGCGCGGGAGGGGAGGGTTAAGGAGGGTATGGGGGGTGTGTGTGTGTGTGTGTGTGTGTGTCGTTGTCTTCGTTTCTTGATCCTGGCTGTCTCTGAAACAGAAAAGGTTAGCGGGCAGGGGGGGGGTCATTGGGGTGGTCACCCAGGGTCAAAAAGTTGGTGTCTAGGTCTTTTGTGTTTGTCGGTCACGTCGGGTACGTAGTCAACGGCTTGCCTGAGGAGGGGATTGTCATGTCTAGCGGCTACGTCAAATCGTTTCTCCGCGTTTTGTCTTATTGTCTGTGTAGCGTTTGTGTATTGTAAGTCTCGTAATATGTCAGTGTTTCTTACGTACCAGGGCGCGTCGGTGGCCGTGCGGAGGGCTATGTTTTCCACAGCCTGTAATGACTTTAAGTGGCTTTTTGCCGCGTGACCCCACGCCGTGGAGGCGTAGGTTAGCTGCGGTTGAAGTACCACCTTGATAAGCGTTCGCTTATTCCTTAAACTGAGGGTGTTTCCACCTTTGAGTAAGGGATAGAGCCTAGCCCTGGTGGTCTTCGCTCGCGCCACCGTCTCCACGATGTGCGGTTTCCACGTGAGACGCTGGTCCATCGTCACGCCCAGGTATCGTGTTTGTCGATTCCAGGAGATAGGTTCCTGGGATAGTGTCAGTCTGTCGAGGTTTTGTGGGATTTTTCGTTTGGTAAAAAGGATAGCCGAACTTTTGTTGGGATTAATTTTGACTTTCCACCTGTTGCACCAGGTTTCAAGTTGGTCTAAGGAGTTTTGGAGGAGGGAGACGGAATATCTAGGATCTACGGATTGGGATGTGATTGTCAGGTCGTCGGCGTATAAGTATATGTTGGTGTTGGGGGGATGTGGGATGTCGGAGTTGTAAATGGTGTATAGGTGTGGGGACAGGACGGTGCCCTGGGGGACACCGGCCTCCATGGGACGGGTGGTGGAAAGGGAATCTTGGATTTGGATGCGGAATTTTCGGTGGTGTAGGTAGGATTTTATGAGTTTGGTAAAGGATATGGGATATTGGTTGGTGAGCATTTTCATCAGTAGGCCTTCATGCCAAACCGTATCGAAGGCCTTTGCGACGTCCAGGAAGACAGCACCAGTGTACTGTCCCCTGTTGAAGGCCGCCGTGATGTGCTCGGTAAGGCGAAGGATTTGGAGTTCAACCGTGTAACCGAATATATTAAAATATTTTGGTGGTTCTATGTGTATTGAAGCAAAGTAGTCTATAGTATATGACAAATTATTCTCTGATAATAATACCGACTTTTAAATTTTGTATACGTAAGGATTTTATAAACTTACACCACTGGCTTTATAGGCTAGGCCTTTACACAAGGGTCAATGCTAACCATCCTACAGAATTCAAGCGTCAAAGGTAACCATCTTTAGGTATATGTATATTATATTGGCATTATTGGCTCATGCTCATACAGCTCATACACTCGCTAATAAAATATTAATTTTTGCAACAAACAATAATTCAGGTTTTGCCATACCAAAAGGAACTAGTTTTGTTGCTTTAAGATTTTATTAATAATTTTTAGGATTTTGAACTGTGATTTACAAGTATTTATATTCTGTCATATTACGAAATTACTAACGACACCTATAATAATATTTACTAAGCCAATATTTGGTTTATGCAGATAATTTTATGAGGGTACCTATTAATAATTGTCGGGATAAGTCAGCAATCTATAATTTCCGTTCGTTTAAGACTTCTACTAATAAGCGTTGATAAATTCATAATTTGATTTATAAATTTTATAAACGAGATAATTTATAAAAATATCAAAAAGAAGTTTTGACCTAAGTACTTGCTAAGTTTCTAATATCATGTAATATTTATTTAAAATATTAAACAGTAACAACTTTTATAATTTTCATCGATTTATTTCATTTTCATATTTGTTTAATATTTAAAATAGAAAGGAGTGCTTACACATGAGTACATAAACGCATTTTATAACAATAGATAGGTACCTACAGTTATTTGAACTCTAACGGTTTATTTTAGCGAAATATTTTGCCTTTACGGAAAAGATGCAGTTTTAAGAGGTATGTGGCTACTATTTCACTAAATACAATGATAGGAACCTACTTTTAAATTTTGTTTCTTAAACTTTTGTTGTAGGAGGGTTATAAGATGAAATTAAAAAAATATATTAATTTTGTCATCAATTATTATAAATGAGAATACTATAAAACAAATGGAAACTCAGTACAGTGTGACGAATATAATACAGACATGCTTGTTAGTCGATGAAATAAAATTCCATTGATCTTTTATGTCAAAAGACGTACCTAGCTCTACACGAAATGCAACATAGTAACTATTTTTTTCTCCTTTCTAACGCAGATTATTTAATCAAAGTTCCTTTATATGATTCATAAGCGTAACAACTAGAGATTTTATCATTACTTGAAATGACTGAGATCATTTGCATATTTTTATTTTCCTCTAAAATACTGGTAACCTTCTCATCCTTTTAAGTTTCTTTATCTTTTAGCATGAATATGCAACCAAATTTTTGATGACCTTTGAAATAAAATCGCTATGTTGTCGAAGTACTACTCGATATACCTACCTACGTAGCAATCTAAAATTCGGTTAATTATTTTTTTAAACTGGGTGAAGGTTAGATAAACTCTTCTGGTAATTTTGCACCCACACGATTTTGCGGTTAGTCATTTATAGAAGTCTTTATAATTAACCATGCTATTGGAAGAATGTATTCAAGTAATTATTACCAACGACTTCAATCAATGTTTGTTGAGAAGACTCGATTCAAAATTAAACCAGTAGAGGCCATGTAGAGAAAATATTTTTTCAGATATACAGGGTGTTTCTAAAGGGTCTGTACAACGCTCCACCAGCTTGCCTTAGTCCAAAAATTGATAATAACGGAACTACAGGGTCTCAAAGTTGAAAAAATAAATAAAATTTTCTTTAATATCACTCGACTACTTCGAGGTAATTACAAACGGTACAGTTTCATTTTTTGCAAATAATTAATCTCTGCATGCATGAAAGTGGTGGACATTTTGAGACAGGTCAATAATAATTAGTTATTTTTTAGATTTTTAGATCGTTTAGATCGGTTACATTGTTTAGATTGTGTTAGATTGATTAGCTTGTTTTCAGCAAGTATGTTTTTTACTCTGTCAATTGTTAAATAAACGAAATTTAAAATTGTAATTGCACTGTCTCCTTTAAAGGCATATTTACAATTTTTTTTATGCATTTACAAATTTGAATACCTTTTTGTTGAGAATGGTTAGCTTTAGAGATATTAGCAAGGTATACATTTTTTAAGCAGAAAAGTTGTGAGAAATGATTTTTCTAGCACAAACTAAAATACACCAGGGTACAAAAAAGTTTTGGCAGTTTAAATGCTCCCAATGCTCCAGAAGATACAACAAAATTGTAGACTAATTCGAATTTCTCATCCCAAAAAAAACCCGGATAAGAAATTTCACGAAATTAAATCGAAGTACTTAGTCGAAAGATATTAAAGAAAATGTTATTTATTTTTTCAAGTTTTTCTGGTATAATTCAATAAGTACTAGTTGGGACATATGTAGCTCATAGAGTAATTATTTTCCGCAATGTCAAAAATTAGGAATCTGTTTTGTGAAGTTATATATCTTTTACCTATTTAGATTTCTGGTACCGAAGAACATTGTTTCTGTTCTGTTGACTACATTTGACAAGATTTTTTTTAAACAATTTTTAAATTTTCTTGAATTAGTTTAATACCTTCACAATAGATTAAAAAATATTAGAGCTAATAATGAAACATATTTGAAGAAAAACGTTTTTAATATAGGTACGTATTTATAGTTTGTAAGGTGGAACAGTTTTATTTGCACATAAAGAGAATGTTTGTAATTTTTTTGGAATCACTAGGTATATTTATAATATTTTGAGGAGGACGATTACATAATAAAAACGGGAATTTTAAACTTGGAATAAATATTTTGAAATGGATAAATATGTAATATAAATGTCTATATCCTATTTCCAGTTTTGATATAAAATAATATGCACGCAAATAAGAAGAAATTACATCATATTTTGTATAATACTATAAGTATGTCGGAAGTTGATGTATTTACGTTTGCATTGGAAATATTTTCTTAATATTTTTCATACGATGAGTAAACAGAAACCTTTGTTTGGCTTCAGCGGTTACATAAAATTTTAACATTCTCCAAAATCTCACCCCAGTCAATATTGTACAAGCATCGAAAATCAAATACTTAATTATGCAAAATATTTCTAAAAGTTTCTTCTACAGGAAATCAGCAGCAGTCCCATTGAACGTCTTTGTCAAAAATAACACTGTTTTAAAAATTGCTAATCTAATTTCTTGGTTTAAAAGTTAA